GACAGGGTTCGAACTCCTGGGACCCCACTGCTGTATCTACTACTGACAGACACATGTTCAAAAATGTGATGTAGCTCTCGCATACTACACAGATTTTGTCATTTTTGTGTCACGTGCAGTTCTAGTCCATCAATTATATTTTATTTAAGAGATCATCTGAAATTGTGTATATGTCTCAGTAACAATTTTTCTGTCATAAATCTAGGCCTATCACAAATGACTAGGGCCGTGTGTGTTTTCAGATTTTTTTTAAACACTGAACCCATTGTTGATGCAGGAATGCATATATTCTCTAATGCATGTTCTTTTTTTTTTTTTCTTTTTTTTTGTTAGTGAGGTTGGCATTCTGCTGACATCCTCAGACTGATTCTTCTTACCCGAGACACTCAGACAGGGAATGGGATTAATCCTTTTCACTATTTCATCTGATCACTATTTCTCACTTCTATGACTGATCAGATTTCGATCGTTGTCATAATCAGTGAGGGTCTTGCAAGTTTTGTTGCTTACACTAATGCTTTTCGAGATGCTAGACAATGATTTTTTATTCTGGGCTCTGTTTGAAGGTGAGGAATCTTCTGCAAGTGATATTTCTATGTCCTTAGTGGCCTGTTGACTTGCCCACTGGAGCATATTGTGGACCTCTCCCAATAATTTTATCTCACATAATTTGCATGATCTTGCATATCTTCATTTGAGGGTTTTTGCCAAACTTCCTGTAGCTACCTTAACCACTTTGGCTAGATTATACAGAAGGGTGAGTATTTTCATTGCTACCTTTCAGGGTCTCTTACCTCATTTTCACAGGATCCCACTCTGTGGTGAGTGTTGCCCAGGCAGATGCGCTTTTATCAAATGAATTCCACACTAGCAACTGCTACTTCAATATACTTTATCTTGGTTGCAACAGGCTCTATAGAAATGTGGTATTCCATAAGACCACCTTGAGGCTGACTGGGTGGTACCGCTGTATTATGCTTGACCGCCAATCATAGCCTATCATGAGTAAATCATAAGGGGGGCCCTGCCTGACCATGCCGATCATTGAAGTGAATAAATCGGGGTCAGTTTGCTTTTAAAAATTTAGGGAACTTGGTTCACCTATTGCACTGTTTCCAGAGCACTGCTCCTTGGGTCTCCCCAACTTGCATTACCCCCAGAGCTAGGGAGTCCTTACCACACCTGGTTTCCAGTTACTGGGGTGGCAGACAGAGGCTTTTCTTCCAGAGTGATAGAGCAAATTTTTTCCACTCTTGGAGAAGAGGGCGAAGTTGGGGGCCCTCCTACCCAGGTACCTGGGTGTTTTTTTTCCCCAGATGTCAGTAGGAGTGGCACCAGCCTATGAAGGAGCCTACTCCTAATACTGGTTCAGATTAGACGCATAGCTATCCGATTGGGTTGAGTGTGGCCCTTCTTTTGGATCAATATTGGTTCAGTACATTGCTCATGGAAGAGGGTCCATTGTCTCCTTATAATTCTGTATGCAGAGTAGTCCCATCCTGAGTCCTTGGTTGAGCACAGTTTGTTCCATGTCCTTCCAATAATTCCAGGGGCAAGTGGAATGTACCTTGCCCACACAGTTGGGACCAGTGTTCATAATTCTGGACTGGTTGAGTTCTGTTTCCTCATGTTGAATACCGGATACAAGATCCCGTCATTCCGAGCCTGGGGTGTTGCCTTTCAGACTTCTTCAGGTGAAGAAGAAGGTTTTTCCACTTCAGTGTTGTTTACCTTCTCATTGTGATTCCATTGGCTTGGAATGCATCACTCTATGGCTACAGGTTGGGATCCAATCATAAGTATATATATTTATTGAGGTCCACTTACCCTAGCCACCAATGTGGGATACAGGGACCATGGTTCTATAATTCCAACCCCGAGCAGTGGCACCTCGACTATCTGATTGGGACCCAGCCTACAGGGATGATAAATCATGTATCATTCCACCCACAATACAGGAATTACATTCAGGGTGGAGAGCATGCCTGTTCTGAAGATAGTGTGGTTCCCCCACTAAGGTGCCATTCTTCTGTTGACACACCCATGATCTTTGCAGACACTATCTGTATGGATAATGCCCTCACCAGCCCTTATCAGTGTTGGATTGTAACTATAAGTGTGAGACAATGTAAGTATGTTTTGCAAGTTATCATTTTATTAAATCAAAAATCTATTTCCAGTAATACTTACCTCCTTTCACACTCTCCTGCCCTTTCACCCCACTAAGAGCTGGTGTTAGAGATTGGGATTGAGTCAGTCTTGAAAAAGTGATAACATTATCTTAATGATGTACTTATATACAGTATCAGGATAGATGGTGCATTGATGTAGGTGGAGAGTGTCATGAGGTAAATATTGCCAAGGACAATTAAGTGAGCTATAAAAGATTGGAGCAAGTGAAAAAAAATGAGAATAATGCTTAAATGGGCAAAGGAAAGTAAATTTTATTGGAAATACATTTTTGATTTAAGAAAATGATAATGAGCATTCATAGACACCCTGTTTTGGGGGTTTACTGATAGTATCTACAGTTAAGTTGGGTAAGCTAGTTTTAAACCCTGTACAACATTGAGGTATATAAAAAATTAGTTTGAAAGTTGATAAATAGTAATACAATTGTAATTTAAAATATAATCTAGTATTGGGATAAAACAGTTGAGAATACTCCTGTATATGAGGATTAATAACATAATACAGGTTTTTCCTGGAACTATTTTATGGATCTCATTCCCAATACCAATTAATAGGCATATTGAAATATTTAATGCCAACTTTAGATTTTTATTGTAATTAGCATTACAAAACTCAGTTTTGTGGTTTAGTAATTAAAAATAGGAAACTTTAAATATATAATATGAAATTAATTGATTAGAATCAAAAAGCTACAGTTTTAATAATTTGTTTTTCTAAAGTTTAAGCATATTGTATTTATCATGTGGGAATAACTGGGTTGGGGCCGTATTATAAAATCATATCTTCTGGTTGAGGTTGAAATATCTCTGAGAAATGTTTTCTGTTTTAGCAGACTCATTTGAGTTTGGTGAAGAAAGCATCTGTATGCTTGTTTTCTTATCATGTTCTTAAAAATTATTTGCAAAATTGGTAGTTTTCTTCTAAAGGTTGTTTTTACTGTGCATTTTATATTACTCGAGAATCATGCTATTATACCTGAAGATTTATAATGAATTATGTTCCAGAAATGAATCAGTTTGTTATTTCAAAAATAACAATTAGCTTATACGTATGGGATTTTTCATACAAGCCTCTTGAGGTATTTTGTATAAAAACCTGGTGATAGATTTGTGATATAAAAACACCATCTGAAAATATCTAAAGAAGAAGAAACTATGGAGCTTTTTTTTCAGAATGTAAAACACATTATAATTTTAATGATTTTTAGAAGTATTATAAAATATTTAGCTTTAGTTTATGTAAAATAACCATAGAGCATAAGAAGACAAGACTATATAGCCCATTCCTGTTACTAAGGTAAAACAGTTCCTAAAACAATACCTAATGACTATGTAAAATAGTTAGTAAAACACTACCTAATCACTAAGGTAAAATGTTTCATAAACAAAACTTAATCACTAAGGTGTAAAAGATAAAACAGTTCAGAAAGCACTACCTAATCACTAAGGTAAAAGGATAAAACCATTCATAAAACACTACATAATAACTAAGATAGAAGGATAAAATGATTTATAAAATAATACCTAATCACTGAAGAAAAAGGATAAAGGAGTTCATAAAACACTATCTAACTAAAGACATAAAAGGATAACAGTTCATAAAACACTACATAGTTACTAAAGTAAAAATGATGAAACAATTCATAAATGCTGGTTGGCTAATGATTTTGGAATGATATAATTATTATCATATATTTTGTGTAATACTGATTTCCTTGAGGTTGTGAATGTACATGTGTTCTTTGTGAAAGTATAGAGTACAAGTAATTGTTACACCTGAAACTTTAACCAGTTTATCCCTGTAGTACCTCTTGTAACAGTAGTATCTGCCAAATTCGGTTTCTATGGTCAAACATCTCTTATTTATTTTAAAAGTACTGTTCTCAGTGCAGGCTAAAACACTATGTTGCAATGGACTTTGTGAGATGCTTCTACTGTGCTTAGGTTCAGAGAATATGAAGAACTACTAATGCAACACAATGGTTTCAGCATTCCCCCCCCCTCTACTTTTATGCACATGTCTGCACCAAATAAGACTGGTTATTTGTGTCTTGGATGCATGTAGTAATTAAATATATCTCAAATACTGGAAGTTAATCTAGGTAGCTCTTTAATGTTTTTAGATTATCAACTTCAAAGACATTCTCTATAGGATTTTTACATAAGGCTTACTACTTTATACCTCAATGAACAGTTAGTTCCTATAACAGTCAGAGTACATATATATAGGCCTGATATACAAAGTAGATCCAGAATTGATTGTTAATCTGCTGTCTTAGTCCTGACTCTTTATATAGGTCTGTTACCTTAGAGCCGAGTGTTGATCTGCTATCCTAGACCTGACTGTTCTTATAGGTCTGTTACCCTATAACTGTTTGTTGAACTCCTGTCCTGAACCTGACTGCTTATGTAGGTCTGTTACCTAAGAGCTGAGTGTTAATCTACTGTATGATTATTGAACTGCTCTCCTAAACCAGACTGTGTATGTAGGTCTGTTACCCTGGAACTGATTATTTACCTGCTGTCCTAGACATGAATGAGACTGTCTGAGATTGAATTATACATGTAATTCTGCCACTCAGAGTGAAGCTTATTAAGTTGTGTCTAATGCTGTGCTGTGATTATTATGTAGCTTTGAAGCTTACACAAAGTCTTGATATAGTATAAGCAGTTGCACCAGAGATTTTATGGAATATATATATGGAAGATACTTAACTTGTTAAAAATGGATTTACTGATTTATTCTAATTCTTGTCTAAGGATTTTACAGTTATAGATTTATTACATATCATTGTTTCTGTTTTTCAGCACTTTGTCTTGTTTGCAAGATTGCAACTTGTGGATTAGTGATATTTGCTGTTTGAACACATTAAGATTGTAAGACAATGGCAGCACAGTATAGACCATACCGAGATGAAGATGGCATAGAAAATGAACAGATAGATTGGGGTGATCAAGAAGCTGGTACAGTTCAAATCTATGAGAAAACTTCTAATAGTCGAATTGTTTCAAACAGGCATCTAGTTATTGGTGGAGTGGGAGTGGCCTTGCTTGGTGCACTTATGGGGTTGCTTGTTGGTTACTTTGCTCATTCTGAACATATTAATTGTAAACCAAGTCTTGCTGTTGCTTTATATTCTGTGAAGGATGAGGACCCAACTATCAGATCCAAAATCCTAGATATGGTGGATCCCAAAAATATCAAAGCTAATTTGAGGTTAGTGTATGCTGATGATTTTCTTTAATCAAACTTTACCTGATCATTGATTACAAATGTTTCATGTAGCACACTGTGGAGGTCTGTAGTGAGTATTTGATTGTTTCAGGATGTTTAGTGACAGACCTCATGTGGCTGGGAGCGAGACAGACCAGGAGCTAGCATTGTACATTAAGAGTCTTTGGGAAACTCAGAAGCTTGAAAATGTGAAAAAAGTGAGCTATAATGTATTGCTGTCCTTTCCCAATGCAAGCAGTCCAAACAAAGTTAATGTGCTTAATGAAGATGGCAGTGTTCTCTTTTCTTCTAATATTTCATTTGAAAAACATGGAGTTTCACCATATGTTGCCTACTCTCCAAGTGGAAATGTCACGGTATGTTTATCAGTACTCATTTACCTGCTCCTCTATAGTAAGAAATCATTGTTAAAGAACTGTTTTTGTTTTGTCTATGTTTATTTTTTGGAGAACAGCCGAAGTGTGGATTTACTTTCACATTTCTCTGAAAAATTTTGAAACTATCTCAGAACTTATGTGGTTTTGTATAGTAATAATTCTATAAAAGATCTCAGGAATAAGCTAGTTATGCCATTAATATTTTGCAAGAAATGTCTTTGTATGTTTGTAGTTAAACCCAAAGCTACACAATGGGCTATCAGTGCTCTACCAACCATGGGTATCGAAACACAGTTTCTAGTTTTGTACGTCTGTAGACATACCGCTGTGCCACAGGGGAGTGAAATGTCTTAGAAATTATCTACTTCTGTATAGCAGTATTTCTGAAAACTATGTTGGATCTAAGCTTGTTTAGTATAGAAATATTTTCCAAAACATGTCAGAATTGAGCTACTTTTGTATAGCAATTTTTCCTATGAAGTATCTCAGAACTGAGTCAATTTTGTATTGTAATATCTATAAAGCATCTTGGATCTTATCAAGTTTTGTATAGTAGTATTCATTATAATGTAGCTGAGAAATGAGCAACTTTTGTGCAGCAATATTTTTGAAGAACACCTAAGTATCTCTAAATATACATCTGGTAATCAAAGTAAAATCTGATTTAACTTGAGAGAGTTTCCTTTTGGATGCTAGTCTAAAGCAAATAAATCCTGTAAATGTACAAATTGTTGAAGTTAATTTTGTCTCTTTTTTTTTATTGCAGTCAGAAGGTTACATGTATATATATATATATATATATATATATATATATATGCAATTTTTGCACAGTTATCTTTTTTGTGGTATAAAAGAAAATATTGGTACAGTGTTTCTTAAGGTCAGTGTGAAATGCATTTAAGAATAAAAATTGTCAATTTGAAAGACAAGATGATTAAAGGGCCCAGAATAGTCCCATCATGCAAGTTGTGAAAATAGAACAAACATATACTTTGACCACGATGTTTTTTATTCTGAGTTT